CTGACAATGTTTAAGGGCTAGTCATAAAGTTTTCTAGTAATACATCAGACAAGTGTTTCACTGCTATTCATAAAGAGTTCACTGGCCAGTACTTTGAGAAGTGGATGGCCCCTTCCTTCTTCTGAGTTTGTCTTAGTCTGAAAGCTCTGCTGAAACCTGTCCACCATGAGCAACTCTGCTTGTATTTGAAATACTGGTACATAGCGTTCAGCCTCAGAGCAACATACATGCAAGCCACCTGAGTAGAAAATACTGGCAGAGAAGTGATGGGAAGATGGTTTAGACTAGAGGCAGAAAGACCAGTGAGGATGCTATTGCTATATCCTAAGTGAAAGATTTAGTTGGATAAATTTCTTGTATAAAGAAATTCAGGTTTTTCCTGAACCTTCAGCTTTCAATTGCCCAAAGTTTCAGCTATAAAACTAGTAAAACTTTTTTCTGGTTTCTTGCAGCATTGTCCCGGAGGGGAGGAGGAATGAAAAGATAGCAAACCAAAAAGTAGACTTATACAGCCCTGACACCTAATTTCTTTTTACCGGTAAAACTTATTCTGGGGACAGTTCTGAAAAAGTATCTTCTTTGAGAAGAAACAATTATTAGAATATATACATTGTATGTAGCAAGTTAAAAACTGCAGTCAGTTTTGGAGTTTTATAATCATGTATTGTTTGGTCCTTTAAAATAATCAATAGAGAAAAAAAAAACAAGATTTTCAGTGATAAGCAAATGATAATACAGAAGAATTGTACACTGATGAGTTAAGAACAAATTTACAAAATAGTTTGACAGCCTTTCCAAATAAAGTCTTGAAGCTTTGTGAAACTACATATGGGATTGAAGTTTCAAAGAGATTACTTGATAGCATTTCTGATACTCTTTGTGTTGAGGTATGATAAAGTAAATTTGCCAGTTTTAGCAGTATGGAAGTCCAAAAGCCAAGTACTTTTTAAACACCAACCAAGCAACTTAATTTCTAATGTTTGAGCTTGTTCAAGAATTACAAACAGAAGGGGAAAGATGATACTGGACAGACATTTCTTGTTCATTTTCTTAAAAACTGCTTCAGGGAGATCTAAGTCTCCTTCCCAATCCTAGAAGAAACTTTCTGAATGTCATAATATAAAGTAGTTCCTTGAAACTAGTTTATTACAAGAAGACAAAGACATTTTAAAGAATATATAACTTTGATAGAGTAGATGGTTGCTATTTTACATAACTTCCTATGTTTTGTTTTACATCTGTTAAAAGGACTGTACTTAATAGTATAAAAAGATGCTACATAAAATTGATTTAAAATAGTGCTTGAGCTAATTTGAATAAACGTTTGTCCAACATATGCTTAGAAGCACAGCAATTTTGTGTTAATCGTCATCTGCTTCTTATGTCAATATGAAACTGGCTGTATTTATTTATTTTTAGTGCATTTTATTGAAATATAATTTATGTACAGTGAAATACACAAAACTAAAGTTGACATAGGTCAATGGATTTTCTTTTTTTTTGCAGTGTTCCCTCCCTTGCCCTCCACAACAACAAACTCATACTGTATTTGTCCTTCTGTGATTGACTTATTTCACTCAGCATAATGTCCTCCAAGTTCATCCATATTATGCGGTGTTTTGTAGACTCTACATTATTCTTTAGTGCTGCATAGCATTCCAGCATGTGTATGTACCATAGTTTGGTCATCCACTATTCCGCTGATGGGCACGTAGGTTGTTTCTATCTTTTTGCTATTGTAAATAGTGCTGTGGTGAACATGAGCATGCATGGATCTGTTCCTGTCCCGGCTCTCACCTCTCTAGGGTATATACCTAGTAATGGGATTGCTGGGTCGAATGGTATCTCCAATTCCAACTTTCTAAGGAATCGCCATATTGCTTTCCACAGTGGTTGTGTCACTTCACAGTTATACAAGCAGTGTATGAGAGTCCCAGTCTTTCCACATCCCCACTAGCATTTGCTATTTTCTGTCTCATTGAACCTTGCCATCAGTGCTGGGTTTTGATTTCATGATCTCATTGTTGTTTTGATTTACATTTCTCTGATGGCCAATGATTGTGAGCATCTTTTCATGTATTAGCTGACCACCTGAATATCCTCCTTGGTGAAATGTCTATTCATGTCTTCTACCCATTTTTCAATTGGATTGTTAATTCCTTTGGTGTTGAGGGGTTGGAGTTTTCCATCAAACTTAGAGATAAGTCCCTTGCCAGATATGTAATTAGCAGCAAATACGAATTTGTTGCTGTCATTTTTGTCATGTGCTTTTTCATTGTGTCGATTTCTTTGTTCCATATAATTTTCTATGCTGAGCTCGTTTTGTTTATGAATCATATTATCACTTCCTTCATTGCTATTGTTTTAGTATTTGCTGAATATTTATGCTGGTCCTCTTTTCTATTTTGATGTGAAGGTTTATCATTTTTCTTTGAGGTTACCCTATGATTTATAGTTTTCTTCCCAAGAGTAGAACAGTCCATTCTATCTTCTAGTTGTCTTGACTTCTCTACTATCTAGAAGTTCTGTTACAACACAGACCTTTTTCCCTATTTTTGGTTTGTAGTTGTCCTCATTTGTCGGTTGGTGCCTCTGGTTCCCTGTTTACAATCTTGTAGGCTTATTTACTTTGGATACTTCCTTAGCTGGATTGGTTTCTGGGTTATATCATCATGTGTGTTAACAGTCAGTTGTTGTTGGCTGTTGTTGCTTCTCTGTCCAGAGGGCTCCCTTTAGCATCTCTTGTGAGGTTGGTCTGGTTTTAACAAATTCCCTTAATTTCTGCTTATCTGGAAATGTCCTAATTTCACTATCATATTTGAGGGACAGTTTTGCTGGGTACATAATTCTTGGTTGGAAATTTTTCTCTTTCAGTGTTTTATATATACCATCCCACTGTCTTCTTGCCTGCATGGTTTCTGTTGAGAAATCCAAGCTTAGTCTTATTGGTTGCCACTTGCAGGTAACTTTTCATTTTTCCTGTGCTGCTCTCATGATTCTTTCTTTGTCTTTGGTTTTGGTGAGTTTGATGATGATCTGTCTTGGTGTTTTTCTTTTGGGGTCTATCCTGTTTGGGGTTCATTGGATTCCTGAATAGATATATTCTCATCTTTCATCATATCAGGGAAGTTCTCCTCTAACAAATCTTGGAAAATTTTCTCAGTGGTTTTATTTTTCTCTTCCTGTTCTAGAATTCCAGTGACACGTAGGTTATTCCTTTTGATGGTATCCCACATGAACCTTAGGCTTTCTTCATTTTGTTTTGATTTTTTTTTTTTTCTGACTGATCCCTTTCCAAAGAGGTATTCAGGTATTTGTCTTTAATCTCATTAATTCTGTTTTCCATTGCATCAGTTCTACTCCTTTGCCCTTCCAATGTGTTATCTATTTCTGACAATTTAGTATTAATCTTCCGGATTTCTATCTGTAGATTTAGAATCATATCTAATTTTTCATTGATTTTGTCATTTTGTTTTTGTATTTTCTTCCAAAATTCTTCTAGGGTTTTGTCTGTGTTTTCCTTGGTCTGTTTCTCAATCCTTTGAAGATACCTAAGTATAATTCTTTTGAATTCCTTATCAGAGAATTCTAATGCTGCATCTTCCTCAGGGATGTGTTTTGGGTCTATATCCTGTTCCCTTGTTTCTCCTGCTTTATCTTGCTTCTTTGTGTGGACTGTGATGCTCTGTTGTTGCCGAGGCATTGTGACATTTTTGTGTTTATATTTAATTGCTGATCATATGTTGGAGGGACTTGCCCACAATTTTTGTTTTCTTTGTTTTGTTTTTATGTTATCTATACAGGCAAGGTACTGTGCTGTGCTCCTCTATTCACTAGTTAACAGCACTTATACACTCACCACCTGTCTCCTTTCCAGTTGTCAACCTCTCGTATGTCCTTGCCAACCCTGGCAAACAGAGCCTTTTCTTTGGTCCTTGGAGTCTGAATGAAAATGCTATCACTTTAAAATCCAAAATGGTTGCCACTTGTAAACATTCAAAATGGTTGCGCCCTCGGTCATTTTCAATATCCAAAATGGCCACCGCTTGTAAACATTCAAAATGGCTGCACCCTCGGTCACTTTAAATATCCCAAATGGCTGCCACGTGTAAACAATCAAAATGGCTGTGCCCTCCGGACAGCAGAAAGTCCACAGTTCAGGTTGTCTGCCTCCTTGCTGTTTCCCTTCCTAGTCGTAGGCCACCAGTGCAGTTGTCCCTGCAGCCCTTGGGGACCAGGACTGATCTTTAGATCAATTCTCAGGTCCCAGCACCACTCGGACATATTCAGGCTATTGGTCTCGTCAGAGTAGCTGACAGTCTGCAGCTCTGGCCATCTCTGTACTCACTGTTTTCGTTCAGGTGCCTAATCCACTTCTGTATAGTTCCTTTCAAAGCTCAGGATTCCAGGTTTGTCTTTTGTATCTCTGTCAATTGGTTTTTCTTTTCTTTGTTGAAGAGGGTCTGTGTCGCTTTTTGCCTATTCCTCCATCTTACCAGAAGAGAGTGACTATACTTTAAAGGCTGATTATATTCCTTATTTTTCTTAAACTCCCATCTTTTGTTGTCTTAAGCAAAGTTCTGTGTTGACTCAAGTTTTTTTAATGTGTTATTTACATGGCCATCCTGTTCATGTTTAGCTCTCCTTTTTAGGCTCTGTACTTTAACAGAAAACTACTTGGTTAGGGGGTTGTCGAGGGAAGCTAGTCAGGCAGGACATGTGAGTTGCATCAGTTGAAAGGGCTTTGGTGTGATAGAATTTTTTCATTTTTTCTAGCCATAAATAGTCTTTAAGATTATGAGAACATCTACTTTGTTAAGAATGTCTAGTCCCCTCCTTTTTTTTTTCCCCATAGTTAAAAGATGTGTGTAGTTTATATTCCTACAGTAATACTTAGGGATTATTGCCTTAATTGTTTATTTCAATGATTGAATGTATTTAATTCTAAATTGTAAATTTAGATGTAATATCTTAACTAGGAATATAACTTGCTTACCTAGCCATATCCTGCAAATGAGAATTCCAGACTTGCCTCTGAGAAGGTGAATGATTATGATCATGCAGCAAAGTTTGTGAAAAACAGTCATGTAAGATTACCTTTGGTAAGTACTGATTTTTTTCTAAGTATTTTATAGAAGATGAAAAAAAGTGTATATTATTTGGAGATTTAGGAAATTATTTCATGTTTGCAATCTTCAGGCTCAATGGCTTAGTTCTTCAAGTCAAACCCACATTAGTGTGTTTCCCCTAAGTTGTGATTACTTTAGTTATGGATATTTTGAGAATCTGCCTGTCCTAAAGCAGGGCTTCTTACCACAAGACACCTGTATTTAGAAGTGTCTGAGAGAGTTCTGGGGCTCATGAACTTAGATGGGGGAAAGACAACATCTTCACTTTCACTGACTTCTGCCTGAAATTTAGCACTTTCTTAAATTATGAATGTAACAGTACCACAGTGATACTGGCTGTAGCTGTGACTTTGTCATCAACAGAAATAATACACATACTTTTATAACACATTTCTGCTGACATCTTAGATTATTGTTTACATTCATCACTGCCAGTAGATCTTGGTTTTCAATGCATTAATAAGGAGGCATTGAATGCATTTATTACTACATCACAAGTTTTTTTTTTTAGTATTTTTGATAACCACATTTAAATATAATATATCTTTTGTTTGAAATGTGCTTTATTTTATGATTACTTTGGAAAAACACAAAAATCTTACCCCTTCCTCCATTGTTTTTTGATGCTTCAAGATAGATTTTTTTTTTACTTTTTCATTTTCCAAGTTAAAAATACAATACACAGGGGTACCTGCTTTTTCCATTTGCACACATACGTGCCCATACCCAAACCCATTGCAAATCATTTCTGACTCCTGGTGGCCTATATGACGAGTAGAATTGCTGTGTAGGGCTTCCAAAGGTGTAAATGTATATGGAAGCAGACTGCTCTTTCTTCCACAGAGTGGCTGGTGGGTTTGAACTGCTAGCCTTTCAGTTAGCAGCTAAATGATCAGCCATTGTGTCAACAGGGCTCATTTGTACTCATGCACACACACAAATATCCTTTTTACCTACATTCACCCTTTAGTTTAGAATGAGTGAATTGGAAAACTTGGCAGGAGGGCAAAAGTGGTAAGAAGATAGCATTAAAAGTGAATTTCTTTGATTTCTTGTATGTCTTTCAGATCACAATAATAGTAATATTAAATTGTATACCTGTTTCTAGTAAAGGGTGATTTTTTTTGGACACCAGTATCCATTATCATTGAAAAATAAGCCCATGTTTACTTCCATATTGAATCTGAATTTTCTTTTTTATTTTAGGGAACCTTAAGTAAATCAGAATGGGAAGCTACAAGTGAGTAACCATCATTGTAGGTTTACTAACATTCTTTAAAATTCTATTTCAGAGTGATCATTAAAATCTGAAAACTGTAGAATTTTTCTGATACATTTTGAAGTTGTATATGTTTCTTTACACACATACAGATATACCTACATGCCTATATAATTCCTCATTTCTTTTTTCCTCCCCCTCATCTTTAATGCATTTTATTGAAATATAATTTATGTACAGTGAAATACACAAAACTAAAGTGACATGGGTCGATGATTTTTTTTTCTTTTTTGCAGTGTTCCCTCCCCTCTCCTCCCACCCCTGACAACCAATAAAGAAAGTTTCACTCCATATATATAAACCTTTCCTTGACCCTCCACAACAACAAACTAATACTATATCTGTCCTTCTGAGATTGACTTATTTTGCTCAGCGTAATGTCCTCCATTTTCATCCATATTATGCGGTGTTTTACAGACTCTACATTATTCTTTAGTGCTGCATAGCATTCCATTATGTGTATGTACCATAGTTTGGTCATCCACTCTTCAAGCTATAAATCTTAGAGATAAGTCCCTTACCAGATATGTCATTATCGGCAAATATAAATTTGTTGCTGTCATTTTTGTTATGTGCTCTTTCGTGGTGTCAATTTCTTTGTTCCATATAATTTTCTACGCTGAGCTCGTTTTGTTTATGAATCGTGTTATCACTTCTTTCATTGGTATTGTTTTAGTATTATGCTGGTCCTCTTTTTTGATGCAAAGGTTTATCATTTTTCTTTGAGGTTACCCTGTGATTTATACTTTTCTTTCCAAGTTTAGAGCAGGTATTTGAGGGATAGTTTTGCTAGGTACATGCTTCTTGGTTGGAGATTTTTCTTTTTCAGGGTTTTATGTATACCATCCCATTGTCTTCTTGCCTGCTTGGTTTTTGTCAAGAAATCTGAGCTTAGTCTTATTGGTTGCCCATTGTATATAACTTTTCACTTTTCCCACACTGCTGTCATGATTCTTTCTTTGTTTTTGGTTTTGGTAAGTTTGATAATGATATGTCTTGGTGATTTTCTTTTGGGGTCTATCCCATTTGGAGCAGTTGGATGTCCTGAATGGATATATTCTCATCTTTCATCATACCAGGAAAATTCTCTTTCAACAAATCTTTGACAATTTTCTCTGTGGTTTTATTTGTCTCTTCCTGTTCTAGAATTCTGATGACACGTAGGTTATTGCTGTTGATGGTATCCCACATGGCTTTCTTCATTTTGTTTTGACCTTTTTTCTGATTTATCTGTTTCCAAATAAGTGCTCAGGTATTTGCCTTCAATCTCCCTAATTCTGTCTTCCATTGATCCCGTTCTGCTCCTTTGCCCATTCAATGTCTTATCTATTTCTGAGAATTGAGTATTAATTTCTGCATTTCTGTGTTTAGATTTTGTCTCATTTATAATTTTTCATTTATTTTGTCATTTTTTCTTGTATTGTCTTTTGAAATTGTTATAGGGTTTTCTCTGTGTTTTCCTTGATCTGTCTCTCAATTTGTTGAAGATACCTAAATATAATTCTTTTGAATTCCTTATCAGGGAGTTCCAATGCTGTGTCTTCCTCAGGGATGTGTTTTGGGTCTGTATCCTGGTCTCTTGTTTCTCCTGCTTTATCTTGCTTTTTTGTGTGGACCGTGATGCTCTGTTGTCTCTGAGGCATTGTGACATTTTTGTGTTTATATTGAATTGGTGATTGTATGTTGGAGTGATTTGCCCATGATTTTCATTTTCTTTTTTTTTTGTTTGTTTGTATGTTATCTGTGCAAGCAGTGTACTGTGCTTCTGTATTTGCTAGTTGACAGCACTTATACACTCACCACCTGTCTCCTTTCCTAGTCAGCCTCTCATATGTCACTGCCGACCTTGGCAAACAGGCTGTTCTTAGGTCCCTGTAATCTGAATGATAATGCTATCACTTTAAAATCCAAAATGATTGCCACTTGTAAAGATTCAAAATGACTGCACCCTCAGTCACTTCAAATATCCAGAATGGCTACTGCTTGTAAACATTCAAAATGGCTGTGCCCTCGGTAAATTTAAATATCCAAAATGGCTGCTGCTTGTAAACATTCAAAATGGCTACGCTCTTGGTCACTTTAAATATTTAAAATGGCTGTCGCGTGTAAACAATCAAAATGACTGCACCCTCCAGACAGCGGAAAGTCAACAGCTCAGGTTGTCTCCCACCTTGCTGTTTCCCTTCCTAGTCATAGGCCACCAGTGCAGTCAGTCGTCCCTGTAGCTCTTGGTGACCAGGCTGATCTTTAGGTCAATTCTCAGGTCCCAGCACTACTTGGAAATATTCAGGCTGTGGTCCCATCAGAGTAGCTGACAGTCCGCAGCTCTGACCTGTCTCTGTACTCACTGTTTTCATTCAGGTTTTTCCACTAGTTGGTGCCTAATGCACTTCTGTATAGTTCCTTTCAAAGTTTAGGGCTCCAGGATTATCTTCTGTATCCCTGTCCATTGGTTTTTCTTTTCTTTGTTGAAGAGAGTTTGTGACACTTGTCTCCCTATTCCATCTTACTGGAAGCCCCCCAATTCTCCATTTCATTTTCAAGAGTGTACTTAAGCATTTCATTGCTACTCATTAAGAGTCCTTTGGTGGTTGCAAATGATTAACATACTCTACTGCTAACCAAGGGAGCTCTGGGAGCGTAGTACCTAAGACACTTGACTGCTAATCAGAAGGCTGGCAGTTCAAACTCACCAGCCACTCCTTGGAAGGAAGATGGGGCAATCTACTTCCAATCTACTTCCATAGTGATACTGCCTCGGAAACCCAAGGAGGGGTTGCTATGAGTCGGGTCTGACTCGACGGCACGTAACAACACAACAACAACCGCTAACCAAAAGATTGGTGATTCGAATCCACTCTGAGGTACCTACTGCTATAAAACAGTTGTTCTCTGACACACATGAGGTTGCCATGAATCAGAGTCGACTGAACAGCAACTGTTTTTCTTTTTTTCATTCAATACTAAACAGCCGTTTGTGTTTGCTGTCTTTACCTCAAATTTCTATTGGAATTTTTGGTTCATAGTACACTTTCATGTATTTTATTTGTTTCTTGCCATGCTGATGTTAATAGTGTAGGAATAATACAAAATTTAGTGAAGCATCAGTGAGCACCGTATTTTAGAAGGCTGTGTAATTGGGACTGGCATGATATAGTAAGATTCTGAAGTAAAGGACTTGTTTTCAAAAGACAAGCCAGAAGACCTGGTTGCCAACCTGTGATGTATTGTGATTCTTCCGCAGATTCATGTTGAAGAAATCAGATCTCAGAGCCTCACTGTTAAGATGATAATAATTCCCTTCTGTGGCTTCTTGGGAACCTAAAAGATAATTCCTGTTGTTCATAGAAATGGTTGTTGATTGTGCTGAAAGCACCAAAAAACAAAACAAAACCTCACTGCCATTCAGTTGATTCTGACTCATAGCGACCCTCATTGGGTTTTCAACATGGTAAATCTTTTTGGAAGTAGATTGCCCCACCCCACCTTCCTTCCATAGAGTGGCTGGTGAGTTTGAACTGCCAACCTTCTGAAAGCACAGTGATAATCAAAGACAATCCATTTGGTAAACATCGAGTATTGACTTTCATAAAGTTCTTTGAAAGGACTTTAAGTGATAAAAAAGTAAACATGTTATAAATTCTTCTTTCTGGAAGGATACAGTCTTCTGGAAGAAACAGGCACAAGTAAATACACTACTAGGCAAAATGTTAAAGATAGTATAATAGGAAAAATAAGTGAGGGAGTTTAATGAAAATAGTGAAATTGGGGAATATAATAGTAATTTATATTATTGGGTGTTTAACATGTGGCACAAATTGTCATAAGCTTTTCCTGTGTAATAACTCATTTAATCTACACAAAAACTTGGTCAGAAAACTGCTACTTATGATATATCTTTTTCAAATGTGAGAAAGAGGTTGAGTAACTTAGCTAAGGTCACAGAGATAATCCAAGTGGTCTGGCTCAGTACTTAATCTTTTTTTTTTTTAATTGTGATTTGGGTGAAGATTTACAGACCATATTCACTTTCCATAGAGCAGTTCACACATACTTTGTCTCATGACATTGACCACAATGCAACAGCTCCCCTCCCACTTCTTCCCAATAATTACCTCTTCCCTGTGTCTATCCCTCCATGCCCTCCTGCCCCCTGAGCCGTCTCCCGGTGTATAAACAGCCCTTCTTTCTCCCATGATTTTTCTCTCCAAGGAATGTATCTACCTCAGGTAAATGTTCAACTCATATGCCTGTATTTTGCTTAGCTGGAAGCCTAATTCCAGACCTTATGGGCAGCTAGGGGCCATAGCCTCAGTGGTTCCACCAGGCTCTGTCGGACCAGCAAACCTGGTCCCCCCCACTTTTTTTTCTTCTCCAAATGATTTTGAGTTTTGTCCACATTGTTCTCCCTCTCTTTCCAGGATCTCCTACATAGATCCTCTTCCAAGTGGTTGACATTGGTAGCCGGGCACCATCTAGTTCTTTTGGTCTCATAGTCATGTAGGCTGCAGATTGGATGGCATGCCAGTTGCTAAGACTGATTGTATCCATGAATTTTTGGTTTTCTTCATTCTTCTTTGCTCTGGACGAGAGAGACCCATTGTTGCATCTAGATGGCAGATGCAAGCTTTTAAGATTCCAGTCGCTACTCGCCAAAGTAGGAGGTGGAACGATGTTTTGTGTAGTATATTATGCCATTTGAGCTTGATGTCCCCTGAGACGATGGTCCTGAGCCCACAGATTCAACTACTACGTCCCTCTGGGTAGCTGGCTGTGACCAAGCAGTGACTACCACCTTGCCTCTTGTCAGCTCTGCTATACACCTGGAAATTCAGATCATACACATAAACGTACAGGACCATTGTCTGCCAACCCTATACATATTGTTGGGGTATACTCCCTGCTTCATAGACATACCTACTAGGTCAGGCTGTCCACCCATCTGCCCACCCATCTATCCA